ATAACATCAGAAGAGCTGAATGCGCGCTGGCATGCGATGGAGAGCCTGTGATCCGCTGACGCGCTGGATTCCGTTACCTGGGCAGAACGCGAATATCTCACCGATGGAAGCACGCAGAAACCTGAAAATGGTCTTGTTTGAAAGAAGAGATCCTAATCTAAAAGGTAATATACAGTTTATAGATATTTGTGGCTGTTTGCGGCTAACTGAAGCAGTGCTACGAGTAGAAATGTTACACAATAAAAAATTCCGTTTTTTTTAAAATCGCAATTCAATCGAAGATAATTCGATCTATGATTGTCACACAATGAAATAATCTACATCGTCATTCCTGAGAATGAGAGCTTGCTTGTGATATATGACTTGACTTTATTGTGAAAAATATATCAAATACACATTCTTCGTAAAAAAAGTTTGCAATGGCTAGGCAGAAAATCGTGTGTGGGACGAATACATTTCTAAGCTTAATTTTACTGCTTTATAAATATAAAAACCAAAAGGAATGGTATTCTTTGTAAAGAAGACACTCCAAGCTTTCAAATGAATACCATATAAGGAAGGCTATGTAAATGAAGCATAAACATTTTTTACGCGATTTGGACCCGTATCCGGGTCCACAGAGTTTAAGTGAAAGTGGAGCAGGTCCGAACTGGTGTGACTGGGTGGAGATGGGGACTAATTTCCATATTAATGCAGCCACCTATAATAAATGAGGTAAGAGTGTTGCCACGTAAATAGGGGTATTCGGGAGATACATGACACAAGAGTACCAATACAGAAATTTTTTATAATAATTTTGGAGAATACTACAGGAGAAACAACCGATACCACATAAAGCCGTAACAAGAACCGATAAAGGAATGAACAATACAGGGAGTACTTATACACAGATAACTTAACTAGAAACAGCTGGGATTAATTACAGTAACCGAGACTGCAAACAAGAAGTAAAAATGATAGAAATGAGAGCTGAACTGAAAGGAAACATAGGAAACACAAGAAACACAGCTTAACCCTGACAGGTGCAGAGATTTGATTCAAGCCTTTTTAGGCATGGATAAATTATTTTCACAGGAGAAGAGAGAGAGAGAGAGAGAGAGAGAGAGAGAGAGAGAGAGAGAGAGATTTAAATATATATTTTTTATTATTAAAAATACCAAACAGAGGCAGGCAATGAGAACTGGTGTAGGAGCAAGTGACAGGAGAAGAGAGAGAGAGAGAGAGAGAGAGAGAGAGAGAGAGAGAGAGAGAGACTTTTAAATACATCATTTTGATTATTAAAGATAAGTTTAAGGGATAAAATTAGTGACTGCAAAGGGACTTTAAAAGAGGAATAATATTCTTTGAAGAACAAATACAATCTATTGTCTAAACTACATTAACCTTTCAGAGAGATCCAGAAGAGATGTTCTTTTATTACATAAATGAAACAGATAGTCTGACCCAGAATGTCTGTTTGAATGCTTAAGATTAGAGTAGGCTGCTATTTTTATTCTAAAGCCTAAAGCCTCATTCACACTAACAGTGATTTTATTGGTTGAGGTCACCAGGTCGATGTACTTGGGGTCAGCAGGGGCTTTTTAAAATTCAGATCACAAATGAGAAGCACTGCTGGTAAAAATGTCAAGAAATCATTTTTCTAGTAGCTAAAAATTAACTGTGCAGAGGTGAGTGTTAAATTGCAGCAGTACATTATCATACTACATCATTAACAAGATGGACGATTATCATTCCATAACATGTTTTCATGCATGTTAGTTAAAATCAGAGGTTTGAACTCCTAAAGATGTGTGCCAGACGTCTTTAAAGTAAATTTGCATTGCTTCTCATGCAGACTTGACTGTGATGCCAATACATTTAGCAGATATTCTATGTTATTATATTACAAAGAAAATTGGACAATGATGACCTAATCATGTAACTGAATCGATTTGATTGATTAGCACCTTTATTAGTACAAACAGAGTGTTCTTACTGCATCCACTGATATATGGGCTCCTCCATCTGTGCGTCATCCATTAATGTTTCCATTAATTGGACAAATAACAGGTATAATCACTCAGGAAGCACCTCTTCCTGATGAATGGTCTTTGGCTCGAACCTGAATTAGGCAGCATTTGGCTGTACATGGACTGAGCAACGGAGTAGTTGAAAGGCAATCAATGAAGTGGAGGTCCTATATCTACAAGTAATACCCTTCCTGAAATCCCTGGGTCAAACTAATTGATGCCCTTGACGACTTATGACTTCTGGGTGAACATAATTGCCAATAAAGCATGATGTGAAATCCGAAATTCTTGGATGAAGTTCAGACAAGATTGATTCCTTTTTTAAATGCAGCCTGTAGTGATGTACTGCCTTGTAAGAGACCAGAAATACTCATGCTGGCTCTATCTATCTATCTATCTATCTATCTATCTATCTATCTATCTATCTATCTATCTATCTATCTATCTATCAATAATTTCAGATTGGTTCCTTGAAAATATGCAGTGAATACAATGTACTGGCCACAGATATTCAGTCAGAGTTAATTTTTGCCAATCCCCTGAGGTATCGAGTCACTGTCAAGGATGGAGATCCCTTCCTACCTCCCAAGCACCATGCTTTGTAGGCATCTTTGACTGACCCGATGTTCTGTCCTTCTAACAGTAACACAGTCTTAAATGTCCAACCAGAGACTTCCAACCAGGAGAAAATGATCCTGTGCTCTGCAATTATGATGCAAGGATAAAGGATGCATGCCTCAGGAAAACAATCTACCGCACCTGCTCACAGAGCAAGAGGTCTGAGGCTGATATCTAGCTGATAGGAGAACACATGCTGATTTAAGAATGAGCAAAGCTTACAGGTGTGTTGCACACTGACATTGTTGTTCTCCTCAATATTTGTCACAGTGGATGATTCAGATCTTGCATGTTAAAGCATGTCCAATACTGAATGGCTCAGGACAACATAATGTTGTAATGTAAATACTGGCTCAGAACCTGTGGTGGAGGGGGGATGGGAGTGAATGTGTAGCGCCAAACTCGTTTCAGAGTATTTTGCTGACATGCATTTTGTCAGGCTTAGTCCTTGACTTTTCATATGCACAGTAATATGTCACCCTGGACCACAAAACCAGTCTTAAGTCGCTGGGGTATATTTTTAGATATAGCCAAAAAAAACATTGTATGGGTCAAAATGATCAATTTTCCTTTTATGCCAAAAATCATTAGGATATTAAGTAAAGATCATGTTCCATGAAGATATTTTGTAAGTTTCCTACTGTAAATATATCAAAACTTATTTTTTGATTAGTATTATGCACTGCTAAGAACTTAATTTGGACAACTTTAAAGGCGATTTTCTCAATATTTAGATTTTTTTGCACCCTCAGATTCCAGATTTTCAAATAGTTGTATCTCGGCCAAATAATGTCCTATCCTAACAAACCATACATCAATGGAAAGCTTATTTATTCAGTATATGCATACATATTTTTTTTTAATGACCCTTATGTCTGGTTTTGTGGTCCAGGGTCACATATATGTGACAAATTATGCTAAATAAAACTGGCATGTAAACTGGTAGGCCAAACAATATTTACATACTGTTAATAAATGCAATTTGTTAATATCATAAATACTTTACCCTCTGAAAATTATTTTTTTAATAGTAATATATTAAGTGTATGATTGTATATTATGGGGTTAAAAAATAACTGTTGTAGTTCCTTTGGCATTGCTGGCCTTTGTCAATTTTCCATTGGTGTGTCTTCCTTCAGTTGCTAAGAAATTTGATCTTCCTACAATGGATGTTAAAATCTTTGATGACTCGAAGACAGAAGTTGATGAAGAAGCATTCGGATATCTGCTGATGCGACCAGATCTTGGTGTCCTAGAAATTTTCATCCCAGGCACAGCAAACATTGATGGTAAATTGTTTGACATGCTTAAGTTTTGTGTTTATTCTCAGCAATATTCACTGATTTGCATAGGCTAATATGGCTATTGGACTAATTCTTAATAGCTGTGTAGCATGCTACCACAGTAGCATGAACAGATAATCAGACCATTGATATGTTTTATATTGAAGATTCTTTAAGCTCAAGCTCATTAGGAGATACTGAAGGTGCGTCAGAGTCCGATGACACAGCAATGTTGATTAGAAGCCCTCCTGAAAAAAATCAAGCTGAGGAACGTCGTCTTGCCCAAGTAGGGATCACCAATCTTGCCTCTGAATAACATCTATATAGAATGACTTAAAAATTAAAAATATTTGGAACTATATACACTTGTCAGTTGTTAATTTATAATCCCTGCACAATATTGCATTATTCTCCCTCCAGATGATCGAAGATATCCTAAAGAGCAGCCCTGGAGGTGAAAAGGTCATAAACGAATATGGCCGCACCAAAGGTCTGTCAGATGCCCGAAGACGTGACATGGTGAAAATCTTGGTAGCACATTTGACAAATAAACATGGGTAAGTTGTTCATACATTACTTTGTAAATTGATGTTTATGATGTTATGGGTTATAATTATAATTGCTTTTGGTTTGTGTGTGTGTGTGTGTGTGTAGAACAAGCCCTTCCCGTCATTTGAAGGAAGAATATGCGAAGGGAATCATTTCCTTATTCCCATGCTTGGCTGACCCCAGGAGCAAGCTTGGCTATGTAAGTAGCTGTTGCCTCGCAATATATTTGATTTACAGGAGGAGGAGACATTCTGTATATTGCAGAGTAAAGACTATCTTCATTATAATTGATATGGCATTTATTGCCTTAATCTGGTAATATATAACTATTAGGTCTGTGTATTGTTCTGGTAATAGGAGCATTATTACAATGCAGAAGATGGAAGTGGATATTTAGCATGGCGAATCAAAACTCTGCAGAAAGAAGCATCAGAGGGACGGATGAAGCGCCCACGGCAACCACAAACAGGTGCAAGATTTGATGTTAAGTCAATGCTTTTATTAGCTTGGCTAATATTTATTAGGCTCGGTTAACTTTTTATTTTTTTTTTGAAATATACTACTGGCTTAATTTACTCATCTTAACATTTGTGACTTGTCTTTGAAGTATTCTTTTGTTCCAAATTGGTCTGTAATTAAGTCATTGTGAATGAGGTCTCGTGTTACATAGCATCTCTAAAAAATATAATCGCTGTTCTTTTTAAATGCAAACATGTTTTGCATAATCATCAACGTTGGGCAAATTTAAATGTCACTCTGGGATATATGCCTGTTTTACATGTTATTTCCTGTAATTTATCTAGTTTTGGCATTAATGCATTGTGCTTTGGAAAGAAAAGGAACTACAGATGTGGTTTTCATATTGTCTTAAACACTTTCAGGTGGGCCAACTGCTGACAGACATCCCTACAAAGAAGACTGCTGTTTGACTGAAGACCGTCATTGTCAGGAAGCAATAGCCCTGATGAAGCATACAGCTGATGAGGCAGTGGTAAAGGAAAAGATGAAGTTAACACTGGCCTATCGGCAGAAGCTGCTGCACGACCCTAAAGAGTCAACTGATATTCTGTCAATTTTCCCACGATTCCTGGATATACCAGGCTTGGTATGTGAGACTTAAATTCTTAAAACATGAAAACAGACAAATATGAAATCAAGTGCTATTGTTGTTCTGCAGTAACAGAGACTCGTTAGGTAAACAAAGTCAGTTCCTACTATGTTACCTACTTTAATTATCTTTCGCAGATTGATCAAGATTTTGAACTTCTGTTTGGTGATGCGACCACTTCAAAGTTGTTGGAAAAGTGGTCTACCAATATAAAACCAAAGGTTATTGCACAGAGCCGTGGCCTCACACAGACTAGTGAGCTCCAAGACCTCATCCAAAATGCTGGAACCACTGAAGTTGAAGAAGGTACTGTATATATTGTGGTACACCTTAAATTATTTAAGAGGAAGTTACGCATTCATGACAAGCATAGCTTTATTCAGATCTACAGAGTTTAAATTGTGGTCACAACTTTACCCATTACATATTATTCATATGCAACACAGACTTGAAATGGGTAAACTGTCAGAATTCGCCTGTTTCTCTAACATTTCTACCCTGATCTTTTTACAAGGGCCTAATACAGGAGTTGCATATTTACAATTTGAAATTATTTTCAAAGAAATTATTATTATTATGGAATAACAAAAGCATCTTTGATATGTTGTAGGTAAAGTTTAACTGTATGAAGTTTAACTGTTCAATATCTGTGGAGGTTTCACCTAAATTCATCCACACGTCTAGTCATCAAGACTAGGCCATGAATGTGCTCCTAATACTGAATTTGTGTGCAGTATTAACTAAAGTACTGGAGTGGTTAATGTATTTATACCGGCACCTCTTACAAGTGAAGCTAAGTCAAGTTAAAGTGAGTAGAAGGTTATGCTCAACCCCTTCTACCTAAAAACCAAAAATGTGTTTTAATTTGTTTTCTGTGTCTCTAGGTTGGGACAGCGACATGTCTTCCATTCTGATGCTGGTTCACCTTTTGCCTCCCTCAAGTCAAGGCCGCAAGAGACCGGGAAAGATCTCAGCTAAACAAGCATGTGATGGTCTTGTGAAGTTCATCAAGGTGAAGCTTCTGATTAAGCAGATCAAATGACACTATTTCATAATGTTTTGCCACTGTGTGTACTTGAACTTGCTTATTTCTCAGACTTGCTTATTTCTCTTAAAGATCACTTGTCCTCCAAATTGTTGTTCTTGTGCTATTCTTTTCTACTTGGCACATAATGATCTGTTGGAATCTCCTGGAAATATGTAATACAGAAACTTTGGTGGAAGACATCACTGTATCTTTATTCATGCTGTATATTGACTTTAACTGTTAAGTCAGATTGGCACTAATGTGTTTTCATTCTTTCACAGACCGGTACCAGTATCCAAGGGCACTTGGATAGCATTGGAGAGAGACTCCAGCCGTATCTACTTGCTGTTGGACCGAAGAGAAGTAGGGTCCATTCTTGGTTTATTGTAATTGACCAACATGCTCTACCCTGTAAGGCTTCTAATTCATTGGCCTGTGTTGATGAGCTTTTCAAAGCTCACTTTGTCTTTGGCACTTCATACTGTCAGGAATTGACCAATGTGTATAGCTTTCTGCAAACCACTGTCTATGATATAGATGTTGAAACCACCAAGGTGAATCCCAGAGTGGCCGAGTTGAGAGCTAGAATCCTACAGTGAGCAGATGATTTGTTTCATTTGTAAAAAGGGGCATGCTAATGCCAATGCCCTTATAAGGCACTTCAAGTTAGTTCATGGCCTTTGTCCAGGAAAAAGTCTCAAGTTAAAATGTGCTCAAAGAGGTTGTTCACATGTTTACCATAGTTTTTCTGGATTACGAAAGCATCTTAGCAAGTGTTGTGCAATTGACCGTTCACGCCTCTGTTCTGGTGAAAGCTCATCCACCGCCAACTCCATTTCATTAGATGATGTAGGTGTTTTATCAAACCCAAATCCACCTTGTGAGACTGCACTCTTAAAAACAAATATAGTAAACAGTTGTGCAGCAGTGGTAGCTGAACTTAAAGTTGCTGGTGTCGCAGAGACAACTATTAACTATGTTGTTGGTGCTCTAGAAGAAGTGATTGGAGACATTCATAGTGAAACTCAAGAATCAGTGAAAAACAGCCTATCCTTAGAGGAGCCCATAAAAAGTGTTGTTGAGTCTCAAATTGATCAGTGTTTTGAAAAAATGCAAAATCCTTTTGCGGCCTTAAACACTGAGAGCAAGAGAATGCGATACTTTTCAGACAAATGGGGAAAAATAGATCCTGTTGAATATGTTCTCGGAACAAGATTTGCGACGCGGCGTAACAGAACAACTGAAACTTTTGCCCAAACCATTGTTAAGGATAAATTTGTATATATACCAATTCTTGAGACATTACAGTCCATTTATAAGCACCCTAACATTACAGATATGATGGCGAGAGATTCACAAAAAAGACCAAATTGTCTTTATGACATACACGATGGAGAATTCTTTAAGAATCATGCACTCTTCTCAAAACAAAGACATGCAGTTCAGATCCAGCTTTTTTTTGATGAATTTGAATGCTCAAACCCCCTTGGATCAAAACGAGGAATACATAAGTTAGGAGCTATCTATTTTACCCTTCGAAATATTTCCCCTAAATACAACTCGAGTTTACTAAATATACATTTAGTCACTTTATTTCATGCACAAGATATCAAAACCTATGGGTTTGATAAAATACTAGAGCCGCTTGTCCAGGATATCTCAACACTGGAAACCAATGGAATTCAGATTCCTTTATTTGATCATACAGTTTATGGAAACATTGTCCAGGTTACTGGTGACAACCTTGGTGTGCATTCCTTGTTTGGTTTTGTGGAATCATTTAGTGCTAGGTACTGTTGCCGCTTTTGCCTATTAGAGAAAGAGGACTTTCAGACAGTGTTCAGTGAAGATAGTCCAAAGATGACAGTGCGAACTAAAGAACTTCACGCTGAACACTGCCAGAGAATGCAGAGCAATCCCAGTCTGCCTTATGTAATGGGAGTAAAGAAGTCTTGCTTTTTAAATTCATTACAATATTTCCACACCACTGCAAATTTTTCAGTCGATATTATGCACGACATATTAGAGGGGGTTGCTCAATTTGAGATGAAATTACTAATTCAGCACCTGATTGAAAATTACACCACATCAGCAGAAGTACACAGAAGAATTCAGAGTTTCAACTATGGCTTCATGGAACAAAACAACAAACCTCCTGGTGTACAATTAAGAGAGGGTTCCAATGACTTGGGCTTAAATGCTACTCAGAGCTGGTGTTTATTGCGTTATCTGCCCATCATGTTTGGAGATCTTGTGCATCCTAATGATCAGCACTGGTATTTGTTCATTTTATTGCTTCAGATAGTCAATATTGTGTTTTCTTCAGTTATATCCACTGGTATCACCATTTATTTGAAACACCTGATTGCAGAACACCACAGTTTGTTTAAGCATTTGCTTCCTGATAAGAACTTGTTGCCAAAGCATCATTTAATGGTGCATTACCCCAGTTGTATGCAGAAAATTGGACCACTGATACATTGTTGGTGTATGCGTTACGAAGCGAAGCATAATGTTTTTAAAAAGCAGCTGAAAAGCTTTAAAAACATAACGAAAACATTAGCAAAGAAACACCAGTGCCAAATGGCTTATATTTGGCAAACATTTGATCCAAATGCCATGAAATTTGGTCCCGGGAAAATGGTCCCATTGAATGAAATGGAAGTTGGCGCTGAGATGGCTGGGAAACTTAATGTGCCTATGTGGACTAAGGTCCTAAATTTGAAATGGGTCAAGCGCTGTGGAAACACTTATCGGTCTGGGTTGGCAGTTTGTGTTCAAGTTCAAAATGACATGCCTGTATTTCATGTAATCCAGAATATTGTTATTAAAGATGAGTACATCCTTTTAATAACAACTGCACTGACAACGTTATGTTTAGATGAACATATCCATGCTTACAAAGTTGCACATACCACAGAAGCACCTTATGTTTTGGAGATTAAGGATATTTTGCACCATAAATTGTTTGACATTCTGATGTCTTATGGTTGTGATTCTGATTTGTTTATTGTACCATATAGTTTCATGTAATTCTTTTTCCATCTCCATTAGATTATCACTACTTTTTATTTTAGTATTGTTTTCATTTTTTTTTTTTTGTGTGATGAAGACTAGGCAAGACAAGGCACGTTTATTTATATAGCACATTTCATACACAGTGGTAATTCAAAATGCTTTACATAAAATAAAATAATAAATAATAAATAATCACAACAATAAAACAAGGAATTTAAAACTTTGCACTATAGTTTATGCATAATCATTTTCTATTCTTAACTGTTTTACAATTGTTTTAAACCTCTTAAATCAATTTTTTAATCATTTTCAGTTTAGACATTGCACAGCGCTCATTCAGTAAATGCACAGCTAAACAGATGAGTTTTGAGTCTGCATTTAAATGTGACTAATGTTTTAGCACATCTGATCTCTTCTGGAAGCTGGTTCCAACTGCGGGCGGCATAATAACTAAAAGCGGACTCCCCTTGTTTTGTGTGAACCCTTGGTATTTCTAACTGACTCGATCCTAATGATCTGAGCAGGGCCGTGCACAGGGGGGTGGCCCGGTGGCTAGAGCCACTGCCCCTTTGCCCTCATCGGCTGAGTTGCCCCTGTCACCAATACCCCCTTCACCCCAGATCAAAGCGGTCTGTTCCTGCTCCACTAAAGACCTGCTGATCCTCTCTGTGTTTCCCCGACGCTCCACAGCATCACTCACGATCTGTGTGCCGCTCTCTGGAGTGAGAGTCTCTGGAGTGGAGACCACAGTCCCCAATGTCATTGCATTAACAGGTGGATGCATTACAATCCACATTACAGTCAGTGGATGATTCGCTGGATTAGTCATTTGGTAGTTTGTTTCTGTATTTCTGTCAGTAATGATTTGCTCTCAGTCTTTTAAAAGTGATAACAAAATATCCACGTTCTTAGAATTAGAATGTGTAATCAAATTATTGCACCCGATCAGATCTAATATAAATTTCGCTATTGTTGGCACACTTTGTAGACAAAAAAATAAATAAATAAATGCCTTCGCAAAAAAAGAAGACAGAGAGAGAAAGAGCGAAGGGAGGCTGCGAAAGGCAGTTCAACATTACAAACACGAATTCAAAGCTCCAGCGTGCCAGCAGCTAAATCATCATATACTTTAATTCTTGTAATTAAGTATATATCCCTTTATAATCACTTGTCTTGATACTAGTCATCTATAACACATCATATTTTATTAAAACCATATTAATAGTAGGCCTATAAATGGTTAAAAATAATATAAATGTTCTAAATGAGTTGTTTATTAGTATATAATGCAGATTTATGCTGTAACATATTAAATTAAATGTCTAATACTTATAAGATTGGCCTTTTTTTTTACTTATGTGGTCCTCAAGATAAGTTAAAATGATGCAGAAGTAAAATTAAAGTATATCCTAATGAAAGTATTTCTATCATTTTAAATGATCAGAATGTATCTATGACAACGGGTTCTAAAAACATGGCTTCTTATAATAAAAGTGTTCCCATGGCTCAGTTTGCCCCGGGTTTGGGGTAAGTTGACCCGAGTCGAGTCAGTGGGTAAGATGCACCATCTGGATGTAAAATGACCATCTGACCAAATCTGATTCAAACCCATGTGAAATAAATAATAATAATGAAGTTAACTTTAACAACATAAAACCAACCAAATGAAGATTAAATTTCAATATTTAATTGCTTGCATTTCTGAAACAATATGTTGAACACCCAAGTTGTAGCCTTCCTTAAAACACACTAAACAGAGGGTTTGTTGGCCATTAGTGACTACAGGTGGAAAGATATATCTGATTATAATGTGATGAAAAGCATTTTCTGGTTCTTATCAGAGAAGGATTTGGTGCACTTGTACACTGTCCCTACACTCTAAAAAATGCTGGGTTAAATACAACCCAGTGCTGGGTAAAATAGGGACAAACCCAGCAACTTTTGTCTGCTATGGTCAGCAGACCTTAAGCCAGTGGATTGTGGATGCAGTTTCTTTGTCCTACGAGTCCTCTGACCTCCCCTCACCTTTGAGGGTCTGAGCACACTCGACTAGATTGCCCATTCTCTCTGGAGTGTCGATTCACAGCATCTGTAGCGCTGCGGGCTGGTCCACCCCGCTTACTTTTGTCAGATTTTACAATCTTGAATTGGGAGTAACCCCTGGCTCCTCTGCACTCTCTTCCTAGCTGTGCTCTTCCACACTAGGCAGGGATTTGTAAGCATGGCGGACTGGGTATTGTCGTTCCCATAGCGTTCGATGCAGCCTGAGTTACCGAAGGGGAATGTCCCTAGGTTACGTATGTAACCATATTTCCCTGAGGGAACGAGATGCTGCATCTCGTTGCCATACTTCCTGGATCCTTGTGAGCGCTTCCTGTTTGAATGAGAAGCTGCCGCTGCATCCACTGCACATGCTTTTACACTTACCCAGTCTCTACATCATCCCGCCTGTGATGTCTCACTATTCCATTGAACTGATTGCACACATGCTTCAGAGCGTGGTCATGCAGAAGCTTTCCCAAAGCGTTCGCCGCAGCGTCTCTTTCCCTCAGGGAACTATGGTTACATACGTAACCTAGGGACGTTCAACAAAACATACATTTACTAATGTTTGTACAGACACTAAAACGTACAATACTCACAAATTTACGGCATCTAAATGTACAATA